TCGTTTTCTTTCCCTCGATCGGTTTCTTCTGTCCTTCTCTATTCATTTTCTTTCCCTCTCTCTTTTTCGTCTCTCCCTATCTTTGTCTTCGCTTCCCTTCTCGTTGTCTTTCACCCTCTTTCGTCACTATATTTCTTCCTTTATTCTCATTACTTTTCTCACTCTCTCTCTTTCCCCGAAGTGATATATCATCTAATATTATCTCATCTCATTTCATCTCATATCATATATCATTTTATATCAATTATATCATGTCATATTATATAAGTCTATATTATATAATATTACAGTATTTTACATTACACTACATTACATTACATTACATTACATTACATTATACTACATTATATTAAATTATAATATAATGTAATGTAATGTAATATTATTATATCATATCATATATTTCCTACCTAGAACCTTGTCTATCTACGAACACCCGCTGAGGTGTGTATATGCAAGAGGCTCCAAGTAGAGGCTGACGTAGATGCCGCTGCCACTAACCCAGAAGTAGGAGATTTGCGTGATGTTGGAGACGCTGCATATACAGTGGTACCTATACCATAACTAAGCACTTGCATCCACACGCCCAATACAACCCACTCACACCAAGAAACACAATAACTCAAAGGCAACTTACGTGCAGAGGGCGATGCCGTCTTTCAGGGCATGCCCGAACGCCAGCTGGTCGGTGAGGCCTTCCGCCGTGGGGAACTCTAAGGGCATCTTCGTGACTGCCTCCACCCAGTCGCACGCCTCTCGGGCTCTGTTTATGTCGAACTTGGCCTGGCTCTGTTGGGCGGAGATGGAACAGGCAGTCAGTGGGAGAACCTTGTTAGAAGTCATGAGAACAAGTGCACTCAACGAGGCAATTGACAACTACAAAACAGGGACCAAAAAGCAACAATGCAGGCGAGGGTGTGGACCTTTTACAAAGGGTACCGTGCTACTCGCTGTGCATTAATGGGCGTGCCTGCTTGCATCTAATGAGCCTCGTTCACGATAAGCATTAATCATGTCAGCTCGAATGCTGTGGAAAAGTGTTTTGCTATTAATTTATACCATAGTAATCCCTTAGTTTTAAAAAATCACACCGGTCAATGTTCTCGCCATTTGGCTACCTCCACCTAAAAATTTTAAAAAATAAATAAATAAATCTTGCTACAGCAGGGCTCGCTTGTTCCTCGTTCGTATACTCATATACGATCAGAAAAGCCACAAAAATATATTAGTCAGTGACAAACCAGAGCAAGGTCTATATAAGTACATATACTTATATTTACTTGTATAGACCTTGGACCAGAGGCGCTGAAAGTCAGCGGCAAGTGACCAACGCTGACGAAGAAGCTTTGGCCAGATAAGCAGATAGCGCGAGGTACATGAATGAATAATTGTTGCTGTCTGCATCACGCCCTGCCCGAAGTGCTCTACGTCAGTGTCGTTACCCAGTGACAAGTGTAGAAGCACCCCTTCTTCCTCCTTTTCCTGCACACTACACCCAGGTATCTAGAGGCGCCCCGGCTACTTCTACCTCGAGACGCGTACTTACAACTAACATGGAGAGCAACTGGGAACTACTAAGCTTTTTCAGAACCTGAAAGGAGAGAGAAACAGCGCAGTAAAGGAGGAAGGGAAAGAAATAAAGAAAATAGGAATCAGTAGTAAAGATGGGACCGACGCTATTGATGAGAAAGACAAAACATTTACGAGAAAGAAAAGCATCAGAAAGAGATTCGAGCAGGATCTTGAATATGGCAAGATGGCAAAGCTGATTCTAATTCTCAGATAAGGAACGCCACAAATGCATCGGGAAGAAAGTCCCCTTCTTTCATTCCAGAGAAGGTCACACGAGATACGAGAACAAAGGTCAGGGACGGAGCGCAGATAAGGCCTCAGTAATCGGTTCTAAGACCATCAGGGTTGCAGCTGATGATCCTAGGAAGAGGTCATTATGTCCGTTCTCGTTCCTTCTCTCTTTCTCTCCCTTTTGCTCTCACTTTCTATCTTTTATTTTCTCTTAACCTTACTCTCCTGTCCCTCGCGCCCTCCCTCGCCCTCGCCCGTGCCCTCGCCCTCTCTTGCTCCCTCTCCTGCCTCCCTCCTTCCCTTCTTCCCTCCCCCTCTCCCTCTCCCCCCTCGCCCCCTCTCCCACGCCGATTGCATACCATCCCCTGGCCTATTGCGTCATATCGCGTGGTTCATCGCCTTCAGGTCAGCCCCGAGCAGAGCCGACCTCTGGAGATGCGCAAACACAGCGAGCCGGGCAAGGAAAGCAAACAAACAGGCGGGCAAGCAGGGAGTCAAGCAGTGCCCTGGTCGAGGGCAAAGGCACGTGCAAGCCGGCGCCAGGGTTCTCTCTTTCTCCCTCTTCCCCTTCTTTCTCTCCCTTTCCCTTTACTCCTCTTTCTCTCCTTCTCCCTTTACCCTTCTTTCTCTCCTTCTCTCTCTTTCTCTTTTGTTTCTTCTTCTCCCTCTTCCCCTCTTTCTCTCCTCTCCTTCTTCCCTTTCTCTTTTCTTGCCTTGTCCCTCTTCCCTTCTATTTCTTCTTCTCTTATCCTTTTTTATTTTTCATTCCACTTCCCCTCCTTTCTCTCCTCCTTCTTTCACTTTCCTCTCCTCCATTTTCATCGCCTTTCATTCTCCCTCTTCTTTCTCTCCCTTTCTCCCTTCCTCTTCACTATTCTGTCCTTTCTTCGCCTTTGCACTCTCAGTATCATTATCATCATTATCATCATTATCATCATCATTATCATCATTATCATCCTCATTATCATTATTTTCACTATGATTTTCATTATCGTTAGTATGATTATTATTATTATCATTATTTGTAGTAGTAGGCGTTATATATATACATATATATATATATATATATATATATATATATATATATATATATATATGTGTGTGTGTGTGTGTGTGTGTGTGTGTGTGTGTGTGTGTGTGTGTGTGTGTGTGTGTGTGTGTGTGTGTGTGTGTTACACAACTGTACATATATGCATATGTACATATATATATATATATATATATATATATATATATATATATATATATATATATATATATATATATATATATACATGTACGCATGTATGCATTTATGTAGTATCATGTTTATTATCATTATTTACATTATCCCTATCACTCATTTTCATTTTCATTATTGATATTACTCTCATTAGAGTTATCATCGTTACTGCTGCTGCTGCTCTTTATTTTGTATTGTTCCTGTTATCGTTGTTGTTACGATTATCACGATTATTATACACTATCATTCGCGTCGATATTTTATCCTTATCATTACTGTTCCTTCTGCAATTGCAATTGATACCATTATCACAACTATTTAACAGTGAAAAATAAATCCGATTCCTCTCCTCACTGTGGATGTCCCCTTTCGTGTGGATGTCACCTGTCGTGTGGATGTGACAAGTGATATGTGCAACGGCAGTATCAAAAGCACTGCAGCTTATCGGTGAGATCTGACGTAGACTTGTTGACTTGTCATTCAGTACGTGATCGATAAGAGGAAAGGACAAACAATATATATAATAAATTTAATAATAAACAATATTATTGCTAGCATCGCAGACAATACCAATCCTTCGATATCTTTCCTTTTTTTTGTTCTTTTGCCAAGTCAAGTTTATTGTATCAATTCCCAGACTGAGGCAGTGTTGCTGTATATTCACAGAAGACACTATTGCCCCGACCTGCCCTCGGACCATAAGGGCGTCCGTTGCATTATGTTCTGTGTCGCATTAGTTCGCAGAACCCGGGCGGATGCCACTCTGGCGCCTGCTTCTTCGTATTCAGTTTTATATGCATATAATTTACACACATGCAGGCACACACACACGCATGCACGCACGCACGCACACATACACACACACAAACACACGCACACATACACACACATACACATAGACACACACACACGCACACGTGCACGCACATGCACATACATACGTACATACATACATACATACATGTGTGTGTATATATATGTATATGTATATGTATATGTATATATATATATATACATATATATATATATATATATATATATATATATATATATATATATATATATATATATAACAATATATATACGGTTACTGATGCGCGCACCGTATGCTTGTCCAAGTCAGGACGCCCCGCACGCAACACAAACAACGGCAAAAACGATAAGATAAGATAAGCAAGCAACAGGAACCGCCACCGAAGCACACACCTGCTTGCTGACAGAACACTCGCTCGCAACAGCACTGAACCAACTCACACAAGAGGAAAGCGTAGGCACGGAACAGAGAGAGGGAGGGAGGGAGGGAGGGAGGGAGAGAGAGAGAGAGAGAGAGAGAGAGAGAGAGAGAGAGAGAGAGAGAGAGAGAGAGAGAGAGAGAGAGAGAGAGAGAGAGAGAGAAAGAAAGAGAGAGAGGGCGGGGGGGGGGGGGGACGAGAGCATCTACGTCAGCATCGGTTGGGGCTGTTTGGGCAATGTTACTGAAGAGGATGTTTAGTCATCTCCGCGAAAATAGTCACTCTGTTGCACAATTCTCTTTTCTCTCTCTCTCTCTCTCTCTCTCTCTCTCTCTCTCTCTCTCTCTCTCTCTAGCGTTCTTTCCTTCCTCCCTTCAGTCCTCCTGCCCTCTCCTTCCCCCTTCTCCCCCCCCCCCCCCCCACGGAAATAGCAGCCTCTCCACCCGGCACCAACTTCCGCAGGTCCCTCCGAATGCTCTTCCGGAAAGCACAGCCAGCCTGGAGCGATGGCTTTGCACCCTCTTATCGGAAGCAGAGCGGTTTCGGCGTCGGTTTCGGCGATCGGGAACAAGTCTCTCGAGTCACGTCCTGTGTTTACGCTGCTGGGTCACTCGCTATTCTTAGCGCCGCTCGCGACGGAGGCGAAGACGTCTTGACCTCGAGTTGGCGTAATCTGCGGCGGCGGAAAGGCGGTCGAAACGCGCGCTGTGTTCGTCCGTTCGTCTATCTCCTTCCGTCGCTTCGTCGCTTCGTCTGCTTCTGCTTCTGCCTGTGCATTTGAGGGAGCCAATCACCTCTTCGTCTATATGTACTTCGGCCCAAGATAATCACAAGCTCAATTTATTTACTTACTAACCTAAATACGATTTACTAGTCCACTCACTTACGCCTCACTTACTAATACATTTTTTCAATCATTCATTCATTTACCTTTCCATTTGCTCTCTAATTACTTGTCGATTCACTAACTTATGAGTTATTAATTCACTTATAAAACAACTCATTCGTAGCAGAGAGTGCATGGCACAAAAACATGAAGCAAATAGCATGATATGTGACATTATATTTAAATCTCAGATCTTCTTACGAGTCAACATTTTCTACGAACTGACAGGCTGGGCGGAAGGGAAACTATGGAAAGCGGGCCATCGCATGCCCGCCTGCCCCTCTCCTCGCCTCTTTAATTCAATTCATCCAATAACAAAAGAAGCACGACAGAGCCACATGACCCCCCCCCCCCTAATCGCCCTCCGCACGCGTCAAAAGGCCATTTCTCTGGGACCGTGACTGGAGGAGGAGGAGATTAGCGCGCCAGGCCCAAGGCGGGTCATCGGCGCCGTCGAGGGCGGCTCAGCGACCCCGAGAGGAGGTGAATGGATCGGGTGGGGGAGGGGCGGAGGGAGGGGGGTCGAGAGGGCGCCCCTTGACGACAGAAGGAAGCTGTGGCGGCGAGAGATGGGTCCTCAATCTCCCAGAGATGCGGCTCCGTCATTCGAAAGTGTCCATTAAGCTCATTACATCATCTGGTTGCT